AATGGTTTTTAAATTCCCGCTAAAAGCAAATGTACAGATTAATTTATTAAGAAAAGGTAATGTCGGTTAAGAAAGGTATTATAATTGAGGAAAAAGGAAAAAAAGACATTCCCTCTAACTCATAAAATAGAGTTTTTTCAATGTTCTGTCTCTCAATAGAGGGGAAAGTATAATGAAAGTTGAAAGGAGGAGGAAATAGAAAGCACTCATCCTCTCCATAATGAACCCTCCCCATAATGAAAGTTAAGACTCATGAAGATCCCAATGGATTAATTCTTGCCAAAAACAAGATTCATAAAGAAACTTAACACTTTGTTTCCTAATTAGGAAACTCTTAGGACCCAATTAATTAATCTCCCCTAACTAAAAGTACTGTAGTACTACTACCGTTAGTAAAGAATAACTTGGATAGAGAAGTGAAAAAAATATATAGGTCGTACTCTCTTTCTCCTTAAATAATATTCTCTTGTCTCACTTTTTAAATAAAAAATAATTTGATTTAATCATATTATTTTTTATTTGAATAAGATATTAAATACTAATATTTTAATTTTATCTTTATTTTCAAAGAGATAAAAATAAATTAGAATTTTTTTAATTATAAGTAAGGGATTTTGTAATAAATGAATTCTTGATAATGATGAATGAATAAAGTTAAACACCCAAATCGCACTAGAAGTTATATGTTTTGGATTTTGAATTTATACTAAATTTAATGTTTGTTTTTCTAAATTTTAACAAAGAAAAATTTTTCCCACTTTATCCTTATCATTATCTATTGATTTTAATTATTCATCTTATTGTAAAAAAATCTCTCTTTATTTTTATCATTTTTTAAGAATAATATATGTAAAAATATAAATTATTCCTAAAACTTTAATAAAAAATAAAATAAAAACCATTTATTATTTTGAGAAAATATTGTAGTTATTAATATTAACACATTAAATAGTTAGACTTTTCATATTTTTAACATCCTCATAAAAAGTACCTACTTTTCAATTATTTTACTCTTCTCATTTGCATATCCTATTATTCAAATTTAAAATTTTTTATTTTTATTAATAAAGAAATCGATTGCCACTTAGCCCCTAAGGTTCTTGTCTAAAATTATTAAATTTTATTGTAAGATAAGATTATGTTTAAAGAGTTGTATAACTTTTTTAAAACTTTACTTATAAGTTATTTTGAAAGGTAATTTTTGAATTTGTTTCTTAACAAAATTTTAAATTAGTGAGAGAAGGATCATCTCTACTAGACCGTTCATAAATCATCTTTCTTATAATTATTAGGAAATACCTAAACAAGTTCTTAAACTTTGTGGATTTCGTCCATCCAAAACTTATGTCTCTAGAGATATCCTATATTCTCCAACTGGAGGAAAAAAAAAAAAAAAAAAGAAGATATCTATATTTGATCTAGAATCCACATCAACGTTTGTGTAATTTTTATGTAAATTAGTCATTGACTTTCAAATTAATAGTTGATAGTTATATATTTAGTAATATATATTTAGTGTAAATAAAAATAATATTAATTAAACAAAAGAGGTACATACATGTTCCATGTTAATGTGGTACTAATTATATATATTAAGTAATATATTTCAAATCGTACGTAACACAAGTATAAAGGCTTTTTATAGTTCCATGTTCCCAAATGAGCATGAATAGATCTGATGGTTCGAACTGATACCCAACATATCACGCCAGTCCTTGATTTGAGGTTGTAGGATTGGGGAGTAAAAATACGAGACATCATAAAAGGAGAGATGTCACTTTGATCCTTCCTTTTTGTCTGTTGAGGAGTCATTTCAATCTTTGTTCCTTTTTCAATTTTCTTTGGTTGTTAATTTTGCTACTGAGAGACCAATAATATTATTACCACACCGCAGTAGTCCAAGGTTGCGTTTGAAAGTGCGCACGGGGTTTTTTCTTATATAGTTATAATAATATTTAATATTTAATATAATTATAAAATTATTTATTAAAATTTAATTTAAGTTAATTTAATTATATTATAATTTATAATATTTTATTTAAATTTAACATCTCATTTTTTTTAATTTTATAAAAAATTAAAAACTTATTTTTTTCTTATAAATTATTATTTAACGAAAGTCAAAAGAACACCAATAATAAAAAAATAAAAAACTTAAATTATTAAATAGTAAATATTATTTATCTTAATAATTATATATCATATAATATTTTTTAAATTTTAATTAATAATTAATAAAATTTATCATATATGATTTATAATTTTTTTTAAAAATAAATAATTAAATATTAAAATAACTTTTAATTACAATTATAATATAATACAGTTCAACATAAATATAATTACAATTACAATACTTCATAGCAATTATAAATGCACACTAAGTAAAAGAGCACCATCAACAAATGTATCAAAAAATAAAAACTAAACCGTCCAAGTATTTGGTTCGCGATGCAGAAGGCCGACCCGCTACAGAACCCTGTGTTACACCATTGGTTATTTTTAGTGCTGGAGTTCCTTCCAATATTGGCAATTGGCCCGAATCAATTTGTGCTTGGACAATATATATATATATATATATATATTCCCATCTTCATAAAATGGTAAAACGAAATTTTCATAGAAACCATTCCTGTTTACCTAAAGTAAATTAGAATGAAGAAGCATCTGCTCCTGCAATTCATTTTGTCCACTACTAGAACCAAAATGTAGTGATTGTTATCAGTTGATCACTATAATTGGGATATTGTCAATTGCTTTGGACAAGATTAGTTTTCCACTATTGTTTCCCCTTTTAAGGTAGTGGAACTAATCGTGTCAAATCATTCAAACTTGAGTAATTATCAATTTAGATATATAAGTCTTACATAAATTATTAGTTCCATACTTAAAATTCAAATAGTTGAAATTATTATTCTTTGTAAAAATAGTGGAAGTTGTTTGATTTAGATATTATGAATAGTTAATAGTTGTAACTTTTAATTGGTAGTTCATAGAACAACTAATAATAATTATTAAATAATTTGAAATCAATTTTTAAATTAATATTTTCAAACACTCTAACTAATAATTTTTTTTAAAAAAAATTATAAATCAATAGCCAAACAAACGCAACTAAAAATATTTTCATGTCTTTTCAACGCATGGATGCATGCCGAAGAACCAAGAAGGGTAGAAAATTTCAGAGTTTTTCTGAGAGTAGAACTCCTAGGTTTCTGGTCTACTTGGGCAAAAAATTGCAAGAAAACTAATACGATACATTCTCCTTTGAGATGGCAATTGTCAAAATAAATTGATGGGGAGTGAGGTTTGACTTTGACTTGTTGGAAGGCAAAATTGAATTGATGGGTCCTATCAAAAGTCGATGTTTGGTGATTGTATGTTGTTGGAAGGATGAGAATTCCATACATCTATATGGGATGGGAAGTGGGTATTTGGTTTTGTGGAGAGTGTCTGGTCAAAATACCCACAATTACATTTTTTGTCACATGTAGTGTGGTGGAATTTGGGAAATGTTATATTGTT